ATTCCTGCTTCTATTAATTATGCCATTCCTAGCTAAATGATATGATAATGCTATTTTGTTTGGCACTGCCAGGACTAGAGATGACAAATGAGATACTTCGTGTCAAAGAGCTGAGAAAACCGTAAACCACTATAGGGCTAAAATATTATTATTATGGTCATTATTATCAATTTGTTTTCTAAGCTCTAGGTAATGTGTTTGGTTCCCAAAGAAGAGTTAGCATTTATTTAGTGCTTACTATGTGCCCTACCAAGTGCTTTATATATACTAACTCGTTTATAATTCTTTCTTTCTTATTTATTTATTTTTTGCCATAGGACACGTGTTCACTGAAGAGAGAGGGTGGAGGGAGTGAGATGGAAAGATGGCCAGGCCACAATCGCTTCTCCTCCATTCTCCTCGTGGGATGTTAAGCATGCACGCACACATGCCTGGTGTGTTTTTCAAGCCAACAGGTCTGGGACTCAAACTGTGGTTGGCCATGTGGGATTCACCCTAACCACTACACATGGTCTTGCCCCTTCATTTATAATTCTTACAATAACCTCCTAGAATCAGTGCTATTACTAGTTTATTGTTTTAAATTAAAAAAATAATAAGTCATAGATCACAACTTGGTCTTGGACAAGTTATTAAGTGATGACACTAGAACTTAAAAAAAAAAATTCCCCTTTATTTATGATGGAGAGCATGTGCATGCACATGGGGGTGAGAGAGAGAGGGAGAGCAAGAGCGAGATGAGCACCCTCCACAGGGTCCGATCACATCGTCATTCCCTTCCCCTAGTCCTGCAGCCAGTAGGATGTTGGGCACTCGTGCATGCCAGGCTGACTGGGCTGAGGATTCAAACTGCAGTCGCCATGTGGGATCTGGCTTCTCTAGTGCAGTCCATTACTGCCATGCCACAGCACCAGCCTGATGCCCCCAGGATGTGAGCTCTGAGACGGGACTCCAAAATGCCCACTCTTTTTTTTTTTCTTTTTTTTTTTTTGAGAGAGAGATTTTTGCCATAGAGCGCGTGCGCTCGCCAGACAGACAGAGACATAGAGACAGAAAGCGAGAAGTCACCCCCCAGGGGGG